CCTACACTTTTCCCTTTGCAATTTTTTATTTCATTATTCAGTAGTAGTTTTGAAGCACCAACTCAGGCACGTTAAGATAGTGCTGTTAGACCAATAAGAGCCATAGTCACAACATGAGGGATAATTATTAAGTAGATTCAAAGCACTATAACACACTTACACGATTCTTCAAATCAATCACCTAGCAAAATTTTTTTTACAGGTGGGACATGGTAACTGTGTTTTGTTAGGTAGTTGGAAACAAAAAATGACCCACTTAGTGTATATTAGTGTATATTGTTACTTTTTATTTGCCGGGAGTACCATGTACGCAATGTCACATGTTACTCCTCTGGCAAATAAAAAATCACAATACATACTAAGTGAGTCATCATTTGTTTCTCAACTACCTAACAAAGGCAAGTTAGCATGTCATACCTATAAATTTTTTTGCTACATCATTAGTTTGGAATAATGCCATGTGATGATCTAGAACTACGAATAATTAGCTCAAAAGGAGTGAGAACCAACCTGCCCGTCTTGGTCGACTGGTTGAGAGACAAAGTCAGCCTCATCCATCTTAATTTTTTGCGATTTCATTTATCAAGAACACCGTCTATACATGTCACAATGGTGCTCCAAGTCTACTGAATAATTTTCCATGCATTGTTTTGTAAAAATGAATCCAACTTTATTATTAGAATCATTGACAAGCTTGTTGGTCCATGAAATGGAAATACAGGGGATGGTAGGATCAGGCTTATGCTATGTGGTGATGTCATGGTGTGTGAAGAAAAGGGGTCCTGTGTTTACAGCAGCATTTAGTCCCTTCATACAGGCATTTGTTGCCATCTTTGATATCTCCATTCTACATGAACAAATTCACCTTGGAAGGTATCATCTGGATTCTTTCTCTATACACCTGCTGCTAATTATGTTTGTAAAATATCATACACTTTATTTTTAAAATTTCAATTGTCCCACTCAGTATAAGAGTTTATGAATAAACTCTGGATACGTTTCATCACCTGCAAATCAAGTGTATTGGTTAAGTATGAGTATTTTGCGACCGTACAAGTCGAATATGAGACCTCTAAAAATTTACTTCATAGTAGAACTCCCATGTTCAATTTTTTAGCCCCTAAGTCATTCATGTGGGTTAATAAAACATGTCATATATTTTTTTATGCCAACTTTTTGCAGGGTTTCGGATAAGAAAAGCGGAAAATTGTACTCGTAGTTCATGTCTTTTGTATTAGTTTGATCTCTATAATTCTAATTGTATCAGTTGTCTAAATTGTGTTAATTTAGTCGAGTTGATAACATCATTTAAGAAATTGAACAAAAATAAGGACAAATGATCCCTTAAAAGAAAATGAACCATTTAAAATTAGACAGCAACCCCTCAAATCACTTTTGACATGAGTGAATGAGTATTTTCTCCTTTGATTTTACTTTGATTTCTAAAAGAGAGTTATCATCTGATTAAATTGACACAATGTAAGAAATTTAAGAATACAATTAATGCAAATAAAATTACAATGACTAAATTGACAGAAGAAGCAAACTATGGGAATTACGAGTATAATTTTCCTTAATTTTTATAAACATATTTCTTACCATAATTTTTTGTGTACACTACTAAATACACATAGGCACCATGTCTATTTGTTAATGTGAATGCCATTATCTTGTGTCATCATGCTAAAAGAAATTTACATTATTGAGAGATAAGCTTCTCTCTAGTTAGCTGGACATCAAGTCAAATTTTCTGTGCAATAGCCAATGGGTTAGGTCTCACAATGGACCTGCACTCATTGGCCATCTCACAAAAATTAATTGGAGGTTCATTTTATGTATAGCATTACTCTTTAAACAAATCCAGCAATATTATTCTTGATATTTTTTATTTTTGGGTTATGGAAATGATGAAAAACCTTTTATTTTTTTTAGTATAGCTAGAATTGAAGATAACTAATTTCTACTGGAATTGAACAGTGTGCTGGGATCAACCTTTGTGGTGGTTGGCATGTATATTCTTTTATGGGGTAAAAGCAATGAAGCTGATAATTTTATTATAAAGGATGCTCCAACAATGAAAGGGGATGAAGATTGCAATATTCAGTTGTCTTGTGTCATACCTGTGACAGTCACTGCTGGTAATCTAAGCTCTACTTGAAGTATTCAAGGAACTTGTAATTTTGATCAAATTCTTACCAAAAGTCTCATAATCAACCATATTAACTTCTAATATTGATCAGTTTGTAGAATGTATCTATAATTGTTTTAGATCATCAGACAATTAGTTTATTACAATTACTTTACTGTTTTACATGCAAACTTGTGTTTTATGTCCAAGTTATATACACCCTTATATAGCCTGTACGATAATTTATATTTAATTATTTATACTCTTTTATTTATATTTATAAAAATTTCAAAAATTATAAATAAAAACTCGCTTAGTATGTAATTTTGTTCTTAAAAATTTGTGAACAGTTTACAGAAAAGTAACATGGCTAGTGGATATGAATTAAATTACATGTTTGATTAGTTTGATGAATGATTTTTTGGATATACAAAAATGGAGGGTAAAATCATCATTATATTTCAGTATATGTACAATTGATAAGAGAATAATTACAAGAGTGATTCTACTTATATCACTATTTTACCTCTTCACACCCTTCATCTCATTACACCACTACAAAAAATGTGATTCTCAATACACCTATTATATTACCAAAACTAACCCTAAAGTAAAATTCTTCAAAACTCTTTTATCCTTTTACACCAATAGTTTTTGGAGAGAAAATAAGGGAAGGGAACTGAGAAAGACGTAGCAAGGGGAAAGAGAAAGACACAACAAGGGGAAAGAGAAAGACACAGGGAAGACAGTGAGTGGAGCCCACAGTGAAGTGCTTGTTCGGTCACATAGGGAAGATAGTGAGTGGTGCCCACAGTGAAGTGTTTGTTCGGTCACACAATGCTAAATAATTTTCATTCCTTCGGTGTTATATTGCCAAAAAAAATAGATTTCTCCACCATTTTGTTGTTATATATTTACAGAGCCACTTTCTTCCAAACAATGATTTTTAAATTTGTGCCAAGCTTGCTCGGTAATACAATGCTAACGAATTTGAATTAATCCAGTGCCATATTACCGAACAAACTTTTTTTTCCTAGCAATATGTTGCCGTTTGATTGGATGATAGCAATAAATTAATTCGGGGTCACTTTGTGAAGTGCCTGTTTGGTAATACATTGTTAATATAAATTAGATTATTCTAGTGTCATGTTGCCAAACTATAATAGATTTGTCTAGTCACCTATCGTTGAACGTTGAAAGATTTACTTTTTTCTTCAAGCATCTATAAAAAACATCCATAAATCAAACACATATCCATAAAATCATACATAAAAAGTATCCATAAAAATATTCATAAAAACATCAAGTGTATAAACATCCATAAAATCTGTTATTGTTTACATCCATCAATCAAACATGTTATCACAATTTGTCTATATCAGTAGTTTTGGTAATTACTACGTCAGGGCTGACAAGCATATGGATTGATGAATATGAGTAGTACATGCTTTCTCTCATCCACTAGCACACGGATGATGAAAACGAATCCAATTATTTGCTATCGAAGGTATTGGATGACCAGGTTGTAGATAAACCTATAACAAAGACATCAATAAGTAGAAATACAAAATAAGACATGGCAATGATCTAAACAGGCTTGGTAGTTTATACTTGCATCAAATGGTTTCCATTTACAAATCCTATGCAGATATCTCTTCGAACAAGTGTTGCAATTGGTACTGATCTAAGTGATAGAAACGTCAAGTACTGTTGCATGGATAAATGATAAAGAACGACTCAGTAGTATGATACTATCAAATGGCCCATGTCGGACATAGTCATTCAATGATTAAATCCAGAGCCAGTTTCGAAGTAGGATAAGATAGAGGTAAGGTCATTAACCCTTTCTTATGAACCAAATAGTTGCATGTGGTGCACTACATTCGAATGCAGCTCAAGTGTAAGTCTTGGTTTTTTACCATTACCTTCCACATTTGATATCTTTATAATAATGACAAATCCAATCTTCTTCCCAACGTTAGAAGCCCATTTAATTAATGCTTGACGACTACTAAAATCTAAAGATAATAAATACATTTATACGTCAAATTATTAATAAAACTCAATACAAATTAAAAATTAGAAAAAATCGTATTCATAAAAAAACTTAACAAATCTCGTCTGTAATGAATTTATGATTGGAGTCCACTAATAATACAGTACTTGCATGTAGGGGTGTGCATAATACTGCCGAAACCGCTGAAACCGCCAAAACCGCACCAAACCGCACCGCCAAGGCAAATTCGTTATTATTTGCCAATGAACCGCTGGTTTTTGGTAAGAAAAATCCCAAATTCTAGTGACACTTTTATCAATTTGTCGGTTTCTATTTTTCTTCCAAACCGCACCGACCCGCACCCCTATTAAATCATGTTTTATAAGATTCTAAAAATTCTTTTTTACTTAAGTTTGCTTGTTGTTCTATACCTTAGAATATAGTATTACATTACTGCTCGAAGGGAATTCAAGATGTCAGTAATCCAAAATAAAGTTGGATTCCAATTCACTTTTCAATCTTTTTTTTTTTCTGGCCATGTTGCAAACTTGCATCAGCTCACTTTTCAATCTAAATACTTTTCAATAGTAAACATTTTCAATATATTGTAAACCCTGAATGATATTAATTTTATGTATTGTATTTGATCATTGTAGCTTCCACAGATACTTGTAATGAACCGATGGCATAGTCGTTAATATTATCATGTTGTTGCTACACTTGCTGCATCAGAAGAAAGTTTCGCAAGATGCTTAACATCACGGTATCTCTTGTCTTTTTTTTACTCTTTGATTTAAGTTTTGTAATTTGAATTATATTTTTTATAATTGTACATAACACTCATTTCTATACAATATATATAAAGCATGGATGCAAAGTGAACAGTATTTTCAGCCAAGTATGAACAGTATTTTTTGAATGGTTGAATAGTCTATTTTACCCTTGTGCTTTATAACTTTTCTTCTTTGGATGCAAAGGTATTGATGGAAAACTAACTTCAAAAAAATCCACAGCATACCCACCCACTCTCTCTTTATATTTGTCCCAAAGAACCTTCCCTTCTCTTCCCAACGGTGATTTCCCTTCACTGGCCACAATATTCGACCACCTCCTCTCTCTTCTCACTGATCTCCTCCATCCTCTCTTCTCTGGCGACCGCCGATGACATCTCCTATGTGGTGCCGATTTGTTTGATTTTGTGGATATTCATAGTGTTCAATAGCGAATCAAACGGAAATTGAGCCCAATGATGGAAGAATACGACATAAGCTTCTATTAAGGCAAAGACACAGATGAAGAATGTTAGGTATTTCGATTTTAGGTTCCTTTTGATCCAGTTAGGGTTTGTAAAGTATTTTAATTTTCTTTGATTCTGTTAATTTGTTAGGGTTTTGTTCTTTTTATTATTGTTTGCATGATGTTTACTGTGTGTATATTTTGTGGCTTATTCATTTTGGGTAAAAGAGGGTTTCATTGATTTGTTTTTCATTGTTGTGGATTTTTAAAGGCCTAAAATATTATGAAATGTTGATATGATTGGACTTTAGTGAAATCCCTAACCTACTGAAATAATATGTAGTAGATAGACTTTATTTATTTTTTTTAATATGATATTATGCATATTTGATTGTGCTTTGTTGAAATTCCTAACCTATGTTGGGATTTGTTTTGGGCAACAAAAAATTATCTTCAATTGTTATTCTGTTAAGTATTCTCCTTTCTTGGGTTTTTTTTTTTTTTTTAAATTTTTTATTTATTCCACTGTTAGGTTAAATGATGTTGAGTTTTGGGTATGGAAAAACTGTGCAACTTGTAGTCTTGGCCAATGGTTTTCTTTGCTTCATTAGGTGTCTTTTGTGAAATGGGTTTGCAAAAAGTTGCCATACTTTCTTTCAAAAATTTATTATTACTGATTTTTATTCCATTAATTGAATTGAAAAATAAATCAATGGTGTGAATCCAATCTTTTCTTTTTGTTTTTTTTTTTTTTTTTGGTTTGAAGTCCAAAGATAGCCGAGCTCCAGGGAGGAGTAAAGAAGAGTTGAGAGATTACCTCAAGAGGAAGAAACAGAATGCTGAAGCCGAGGTAACTTCCCCGGATAAGCCGAAGACACCATTCTTGGTGGAACTGGACAAATTTGAAGCACCAAAGAGATTCAGTATTCCGAGGTTCCAAATTTATGATGGTAAGTCAGATCCCAACTTTCATGTTGGACTATACCTGAATTCAATGGCATTATATAGTGGGAACGAGCCATTACTCTGTAAAGTATTCCCCTCATCCTTTGAAAAAATTGCATCAGATTGGTTCCATAAATTACCAAAGGGAAGCATAAAGACTTGGGAAGGCCTGGCCGAGATGTTTGTGGCCAGATTTGTGACAAATAAACTACAGCCCTTAAGTGTCGACGCACTGATGGCTTTAAACATCACCAAGGATGAAGGCCTTAAGGCCTACGCAAAAAGGTACTACAAGGTGTTCAATCGAATACCCGAATGTAACCAAGAGGTGACAGTCGTGTCTTTCAAGAACGGCCTGAAAGATGACTGCCCACTTCGGAAGTCTTTGGCAAAGACATTGCCAAAAAGCATGGAAGAACTCATGGCAAGAATCGAGAAGTACGCCAGAGCCGAGGAGGATACGTCGGGAAACAAAGAGACAAAGCAGGAGAAAGGAAACGGCTCGCCGAAGCGAAGCCGAGGTAACAATGGACCGAACAAACAAGAAACGAAATTGAGAGCTAAACAGGCAGTAACGACTATATTCCGAGTCCCGATCCACAAATTCCTGGATCAAATATGAAACCAACCCTATTTCAGAGGATCGATAAGAACACCAGGGGAATTTATGGGAAGAAACGTTGGTAGGCGTTGTGCTTACCACAATGAAGAAGGGCACCAAACTCAGGGTTGCAGAGCCCTAAAAGCACACCTAGAAGACTTGGTGAGGCAAGGCCATCTGAGGGACCTTGTCGATGAGGCCAGGACAAGGGAAGAACAGGCAAGATTGCCTCAAGCACTAGCAGCTCCGCCTCCCCCATCACAGCAACCACAGGCAGGAGGACCACGGGTGGTTAATGTAATTCACTCAAAAGTGAACGAAAACGACATTCGAGAGGAGACCCAGAAGGTAAAACACCTACAGCACGTAAACCAGGTCGGACATAAAAGACCTCGGCCTGAAGAATGTCAGGGACCAACGATAGCTTTTAC